GATAGAATGCATATTATTTAAGAATGCGAGCGTTTTGAATAATTTTGCACATATATTTTGAGGATTTGCTTAAATATTCAAGGTCACCTCGAATCTTGCGCGGCAGAGAATTCTGAAGTAGAGAAATTGTGTTTCAAACCATGAATTGCACAAACGTCAAGCACACGGATAGGCGAACCTCGGATTGACTGAGGTACTGCGCAGAGAAATTTCGTGTACACACAACATGAAAAAAACTAAGAACAGGAGATTTGACCATTATCCTGATAATTTCGTCTACCGCAAGCGATGCTGACTGCCGGGGTGTTTTATAAAACAGTTTTTGCGCGCAAAATGGATTTTTCAGTTTTTATTTTATGTTTCCGCGTTTATTCACAACGGTTGAGAAGTGGATATTGAGAATGTTACAAGAATACTGGGGCATGTATTTGAGTTCAAAGGCGTTCGTCTAACTTCCTCTCAATAAACCCATACTGATACTGATCACAGTAGTTAACATGGGTGTTAATATGTTTATGGTTGTCAGATACTTGCTATTTGAGCACAAGTACTTATCAGTTTAAACGGAGTGTGTGCTATATTTTAAGGGAGTGATAAGGCCGTGAATGCCTCTTAATGTGGGGATCGGTTCAGTATTCCTGTTAGTGCGAGCCCCACCTAGCCCCGATGCTGTAAGGAGTACGTCGGGGCTAGACAGGAAAGTGTGCGGTGAGCGGCCCTTTTCCGCGTTCTTTAACCACCATTGCGAAATCCACCAATTACCATGGGCCCGGCACTGTAAGGAAGCTAGCTAGAGAAGTCTCATTACAATAATTTTTGGAAATTAACTTTTTTTCAATTAAATTTTACCACACTGTTTTACCAAGATCTTGCTTTCTGTGGAATAGTTTTGTTTATGATTTTCTCACTTTGCACATTCACTTTGCTGAATTTAACAATTTTTATTGTTCTGTTCATCTTCGCAAGGACCGCAGTCGTTTTGGGGTGTTGAAGAAAATTTTCACTTTCTCTCTTGAATCTTCTTTTTACGATTTATCCAGCAGCAGAAGTTTGTATCAAATCACTTCCCACCTATAGGGTCCAATCACCCAACCGCGAATATTGGTAACTGTCATGATAAGCGTGTTCCCAAAAAAGCCATCGAGTGGTTCCACGGAGCCAGAGGTCACTACAGCAGCCTAGATAAAAGCGTGATTTTAATTGTTTTCATTGCTAGTAGACAGGCAAGGTCAAAAGAAATGCACAGTATGAGGAACGAGCTAACAGTGAGTATTTATCTCCAAAGTTCTTATTAGTGTCGTCGGTAACTGGTGTTTTTGAAGCGAAAACACTGCAGCTTATTGAATGACAGTATTTCGGGATGGAGAAAAGTGAGCACAATGGCATGGTGTTGTCAGTCTCCCTTTAGTGTTGTGGAACTGGTAATATGTGACCAATAATGTCGTTTTTACGAATGGTTGTACGTTCTCAGTTGAAGAATTAACCGGTTGCCGGTTGCAGAGTCAGCATCATTGGTTCAAGATGAAGCCTGGCACAGGGTTCAGAGTCCGCGACCAACATCAGATTGGAAGATAGATTCCACTGAGTCAGCATCCAAGATTCAATAAAGTTGTCCTGAATTTAGAAAACTGGTCATTGCTCTCTTATACAAGGGTTAGCTTTGCTGCGTTTTCGTATTTCTGGGTGGCTTATTACAGATTACAATCGGTATCTGATAGTGATAAATCTGTCTCAGAGTAGTAAGGTGATTAAAGATAAGACTTAAAGATACCGACAGTGCCCAAGAGATGCTATAGCAATAAACTTTACCCACAGTTTACCCAGGAAGCAACAACTCACCAAAGTTTTTAGGTCCACAACGTTTTTGGCAAGTCCGTTTTGAAGAGGACACACTTTTATTAAATTCAATGCACCCAACTGTAAAAAAAATCGTGGCTTCGGTGGGATTAAGGAAAGAAATGTTGTACTAAGTTTATTTCCTGCCGTTCACTAGCACGCGGGAGGCTAAATATAAACTAGAAATATTTCAGATTTGGTTTAATGTACATTTTATAAAGACTGGCTCTAATATCAATGACTTAAAAAGTTCGCAGATTTAATCCATTAGTTCCGCATGTTCTCAAAACTATAAGGGCGTAATGCTCTGACTGATTAAGGCAATTGGAATATAATACGACCAGCCCATTAATAACTCCGGACACATTTACGTTGTGACCGCCTACGCTTTGATAAGTCTGATGATCATCGTGAACAACCCTAACGGGACATTTGTTCAAAGAAATGAAAATGCACCGTATGTAACACCACTGAGCAAGGGTCTGAAGATTCTCTTTAGGACCTCGAACAAGATGTTGCGATCTGCTGGTTTATAGTGATAGGCAACTTTTAAATCGATAGGGAACGTAAAAGGGCCTACCAATGTGAACTAAGTCAGGGACGTCAGTGACAGGACAGCAAAATAAATGTGGGCTAAACAGGTTACTCCTTACATGTGTGGGTTTTAAGATACAACCGTGAATTTCAACTCGTGCGTGGGCATCCATGCAGGAGGATATTAAATTTACAAGCTTGTTCCCTATGCCGAAATAGGCAATTTTCAGAAGAAGGGAGATCGTGGTCAACAAGACAAAAACTTTAACGGAAATGGAGGTAGACGGTTAATGTGCAAAGCTTTTGCCTCTATATTGTAGCACCTGATATAAGAAAGAGAGGTGACTGGTGTCCCAAGTAATTTTTTTAGGAACCCTTGCTGAAGTGCAATAAGTAGATCGTTATCTCTTACGTGACGCATCATCTTGTCCTTAATCAAGGTCTCCAAGACCTTCGGGGTCACAGGACTTACATTCATTGGTCTAAAGTCATCAAATGACATAGATTAGCAGTGTTTTGGAAAATCCAGAACGCGCGATTCCATCTATAGGCTATGAAAAGTTTTGCTTTCAAAAACAAGATCAAATATCTCACACAGAAGGGACGGAAAAATATCATTTGCAGCAGCCTTTCAAATGCTGACCAGGTCGCCATCTGGTTTAGGACCGTAAGACTGAAGAAAACGTCAAATGGCTAAGGTCACGTCCCAGAGGCTATAAATAATTTTCATGACGACGGCACCGGTCCAAGTTCCGTGGCGGAAGTGGCGTGACCGAATTCCTAATTAAAGTTCTGGACAACAAAATATTGAAGGTATCAGCCGTGAGGAAGT